TTTGAAACTAGGTCTGTTACCTCCTGGTTCTTTTCTTGTCTTACCTCAGCCTCCTGGGGAGCAGCACAAGGAGAGAGAGAAAAGCAGCTGCTAGTGCTGCACAATTTTCATGTGGCATTTCTGATTAGAGTTCTAGAAAACATGCAGTAAATTGGACAGCTACCCTGTGCATTTCTAAATACTCTGCATGCAGCGCTGCGTTAACGCGGGTCTCTAAAGACAAACTCAATTTCATTTGCAAAACAAGGCATGAAGCTGCATCACATTTCTCCAAGGAATGAGCTGGATGATTTTAAAACATGCTCACAAGATACTGACCTCTCTTCGCAGAGAGAAAGGAGTTAAACAATTTCACTATTCCCCAAAGGTTGCTGGTCCCACACAGAGATGCCATGTTTTATTTAAAGCAGTCTCTCTCTCAGTAACCACTTGTTCTAATTGGCAAGGCAAGGCCGGGTCCCCAAAGCACACAGCTCGTTACGTGAGGTTTGGATTACAAAAACACGATGAAACAAACTGCATCGAAATGTACAAATTAACGGCTGAGGAGTGCACGACACAGACATGGAATTAGATTGTAATATGGAGCAAACTCCACAGGGAGGCTAAGGAACAAATCGCTAGTGCCTCCATAAACTACAGAAGGTTTCCAAATGAGCAAATACAGAAAATGAAGCAGATTCCTCCATAACTCAAATAAATTGGTAGATATGACAAGACAAAAACACCCCATCCATCCAGTATCTAGCACACACACGCAAAGCAGAATGGAGTTACATAAAAGTTTGATGAATTAAATCCGTGGGATGCACCTGCTCTGTTCTCATGCCAACAACATGCAAAAATCATGGCAATTTAGTCATATTTCTAAAGAGCTTTTAAATCATCACAGAACCCCTACACAAGGGACTAAATTATAGCTGGTGTTTCAACTAGTCATAAGGCAAGGTTAAAGAGTTAGAAGATGAACAAGGTATCATTGACAAAAACCTGGCTTTACCACAGATGGAAACATATCCTAGGAAGAAAGAAAAATTTTGAGACAAAAAAGCAAGCCTGAGACAGAAAGGGTCTGAAGTCTCATCTTTGCTTGCAGATCAACAGTGTCTACAGTGGGAATGGCAACCATCCGAGTTAAGAAAAATAAAACACATGTAAAATACCAGGGGTGTCTTGTTGAGATAAAAGAAAAATAAATTTAAGAACACTTGGCCACCTTTCCACATAGCACACACCAGAAGTGCTATGTGCTCACACTGCTCAGTTCCTGGGCACGAGGGACTTGCAGGTCTTTTACGCAGCATCCTTAATACCTGCACTCCGCTACTTCCAGTCCATGATTCAGAGAGGGGGGAAAAAGTGGACACCTCTAACAGCATTATACTAATGTAGCAACTCAACGTGCAGCCTCTCATTAAGTCCCAGAGCCAAGTCAGAAATTAAAAAGCTTCACATATCCTCCTCTTCCGCCTTCCCGTTTCTCCTGCACATATGTAGTTCTAGGAACACACAGCATAAATACACTGGCTGATAGGGCAATTCTTGACAGAATTAAAACAATTAGTCCTAAGCTTAGATAGCACAAGTAAACTCATATAAGCTCATTTGTTATTAAATTTTATTTCCTCTCCAAAACTTGGAGACAGTTTAGGGGAAAAGGAGTCAACCAGAAGCAAATAAATCTTTTCCGAATCCTTCCACAAAATACTACCCGTTCTAACATCCTAAACAAATCTATTACTCAGATCTTCACACTTTTTAGAACTGCAGAATAATGCATGCCAACAGATCAAATGAAATTTTCACGATCAGCAGAGCAAATCAAGCTAATAAATAAGGCCAACTAAAGTAATTCAACTTTTTGCTTAGTTCTTTTTCATAGTGATCATTTTCCTCAAGTTTGTCATGCAGCTGACCTGCTCAGGCTTATTACTTATGTTAAGATACCTTTTCCCTATCATCCTTTTCCTTAAAAAAAAAAAAAGGAGAGAGAAAAAGAGACAAATCACTTGGACTTGAAATAAGGAATAGAGAAATTAAATGAGGGAAATGAAATGCATGCCGAACAATGTCTTTGCTTACACCTGGCAGTTCTTTGTAGCAGATGCTCTGAAAGATCAGCAGTATTTTTGTTGCTACTGTAGTCAGCCATACAATTTTCCAAAGAATTAATAGCTTGAAGCTTGAGTGTGTAATAAAAGTTAAAGACAAAACTTTACTAGCCTCAAGTGCGAGCCAGGCAGGGCTGCTTTTTGTAGCAGTCCATGCACTTCAGGATACAAAGACAGCCATGAATGCAGCAACAGTTGCTGGTCTAATGAAGCACCATGGAGGCCCCACTTTCCCTCGGAACCAACAAATGGAACACTGCACTTCATCTTTCCCCCCCAAAAGGTGCATTGTGTGCATGATAGAGAAAACTAGTACTTAGTGCTGCTGTGAAGCTTTACAGCAAACAAACCACTAAAATACGGGTATTTGCAAAAGACATGAGGGTATGCAAAACGCAAACATGTCAGGTTTTTAATTCTTTATTTAACAACAGAAACTTTATGAAAGAGAAAGGTTGAATCAAGTAGATGTATAACTTAATATGCAACAGAATACAAAAAAGATCGCAAAATATAAAATGGCAACCTGAAAGATGCACCTGTTGAAATTGTCTCCAGTACTGCATGCTAAAAGTTTGCCCAAGGCTCAGGTTAAGAGCAAAATATATTTAGGGAAGAACTCTGATTTGCCAGACCATTCGTACAGTAGGTTTTACAGCTACACACAAGCCAGGCTTCCAAACAGCCTGCAGGATGTAGGAAGAGAGAGAAAGCAGGAAACTGTTTGCATCATTCAGAAGTGACTGTAAATCACATAAACAGCAAACTCTGTAAGCTCTTAGAACCAGGCAAATGACAAAATTAAAGTCTGCTCAATAAAGTAGAAGGATTAAAATACACAAAAACATGAAATAACTCTATGGTCAGGCATGTGAGTGAGTTCAGGAAAAAGAAAGAACACCCAATAATTTGTTGCCTTCTTCTAAAATCATATGATTTATAGATTATGTGTGTCCATTTTTTCTTTTCAGTTTTCCCTCTTCTTTCCTTACCATGTCTCCAAAAAACTCAAGAAGAGAAATACAAAGTTTTATAATTTCAACAGTATATTAATCTGGCATACAGTGAAACCTTTATATTGAAAAAAAGTATATAGTTACCAGCAATACTGATTTCCTACTTAAAACTGTAAGATTAAAATTATGTAATTTTTATTCATCAAAATATCAGTATGCGAAAAAAAATGTGCAACTTCAAACTACAAGCAGTACAAAACTAACTCAGAACCCTTAATCTCAGAAAATTCTTGGGTTATATGATGATGAATTCAGGTTCTTTGAATTCAGTTATTCTGATCTATGGCTTCACAAAACACGAATGTAACCACTGTCTCCATCTCTTTTCTGAATCCAGCTATGCAACTGTCTCTAGAAGGTTTCAGGTACACTTCTCAAATAGTGCTTCAAAGATAAGCACTATAAAAATTTACTTAGAAATACCCCAATCCATTCATGTTCTTAGGATTATTTCCTTCTACTTCCAATTTTCAAGCACATCTCTTCACCAAAGCATCCAGTACTGCACTTACCTTTGGCTTCATGAATTAGTTATCGAATAAGACGCAATCCATTTCCAGCATCCCTCTTTCCCATGCTGATTGCACATAACAAAGATTAGCCTTTCTACACACACAGTCAAATGGATTAAAGGCAGATTTTTTTTTTTTGGGGGGGGGAGTGTTTTAAAGGAAAAGACTACTTTTACATCAATTTAATGTATTTAAGCTTTTGTTTTTACTCAGTAATAGTTTGTTCTAGGACTGCTCCCAGAGGCTCCAATTAAAAATCAAGTCCTTGCAGTACCAGGTGTTGTTTTCTTGAATGTCTATAGAATTCCTCTTTGAAAGAGCCTACTTTGTAAAAGTGGATTTTCAAAAAGCACTCAGGCAATGTTTGTACCTGAAGCCAATATTAGAACTTTCATAAACCTAATGGAAACAAAACCAAACCAATGAAGAGTACTTTTGAAAAATTTAACCCACACAGCACTGTCCAGTCTTTTAATCATTTGGATTCAGTAATTTACTGTACTGAAAGATGAGACATTGCAGTATCAGCAGATTATGTGGTATCACTAAGGGTGTACATTGGCCTTATGTTTGCATTTTATCAGCACTTATCAGTCCACATTCTGAACTAAAACTAAATAAAAATAAAAAAAACTAAATAGAAATAAAAAAATTTAAAAAGCAAACATGTTTTCTTGTATTTTTATTCTGGATATGCAATCTGCCTGAAGCAACTATGCCTTAGGAATCTCAAGAGTAAATTCATTTGAAGCAATTTAATACCTAGGCTTACACTTGTACTCTATCTAGAGACTTTGAGACATGTGGTCAACACTGAATTAGACACAGAATATTGTAAAGTACTCTGCAGAAGTACAGTTAATTTAAAATGATTTCAGAGAGGTTCTTGAACATTTCAGAGTCTGCTACTTTTATTGGGCTCAAGTAAGATAAGTCAGGTATTCCTTCTTGGAACAGGCAGATGAGATAAAAGGAAGAAAAGAGGGTTGAAGAAGATCTATATGATGTATAAACACACAGTGTAAGGGGCTCATTTCAAACATTCAACCACCTTTATGTTGAGAATAAAGGAGAACTAACGTATCAAATCAGAAACAGCAGGTCCGTAGTTGCACACAGGAGTACGGACAAGAAGGTTCCATTTAATAATTCATATTGCAATGCAAACTCAACAACATTCTCACCTCCTGCTGACTTGCCGCCCTTCTCATGCAATTTATGTGAAAATATAGTGCTTACACAAATGCAAGCAGCTTTGCTGCTGCCTATGTCTGAAATCATTTTGAAAAAAAAAAAAAAAAGAAGAACAAGGATTCTATCCCTTCCCTCTGTGGAGAAAAAGTCATTTTAACACAGTTACTAACCTTTTTCGTTGTGTGGATTTCTTTTTTCTAAAATAAAAGAGAAAGGAAAGGAGGGTCAAGAGAAATAATAATTCCCAATTTCCCCCTCTATACATATCTACTTCAGTATGCTTGAAGTAATAACTTGTCATTAAAAGGGGACTTTTTTTTCAGATTATACCTATGGGTTAAATGGAATGGTGAAGAACAGATCTGATTCAACAGCTTTCTTAGCTAAATCCTTACTTTCTGTAAATCTAATTGCTACAGATGGAAGAGTATACATCTTTCTCTTACAGTACTCTCGCTGAAAACCCAGTAAAAAACCAACCAAACAAAAATCCTCTAAAAATATTTAAGTAAAACCATGAATAAATAGAAGGCCAGTAGCCTGAGGCAAGTGACCAGTTTTCCATTAGTAGGTACTTAAAAACCCCGTATTACTTGAATATTACTGATTAGGATCTGAGAAGATAAATATGCTTCTTTCAAAAATACTGTGTTTTGTTCCAGTGAGCAGTAGCTTTTTAAGTGCCTCAAATTTTTCAAAACTATTATATTTGAATAATATTTATAAATGAAAATTATAAAAACAGAGCTACTATTTCTTAAATCATACGCAGGTTCAGATGTAATCTTACAACAGAAAAAAAAATTGATCAGAGGGAATGGCTTTTCCACTATCCCAAAGAATCATAAAATAGAAGCCAAAATGGTCTCTTGATTTTTTTTGTTAAAAAGTATCAATATCTATATAGATAGATAGATTAATAAAAAGGCAGTAGAACATAATCAAACTGGCCTGTGAGTTGTAAAGCTTAGGGTACTCAATTAATTGCAGAATACAAGGGATGAGCCATTTCAGTCTCTCCAGGGCACAAAATCCATACACCTCCGAGGGAGGCAGGCAGAGAGGTTCACCTAGTGCTCATGTGGACAGAGCAAACACACGCAGTGGGGCAATTGAAGCCTTGGCAGCCCATTTCTCACAGCAGTCAGTAGGGCAAGACTGTAACAGGGGGCTGGTGCTTCCCTTGGCGCTGCCTTCCAGTGATCCGTGCCCCCACAGCACGGCCAGAGGAACAGCCCTCTCATTCTGCTGAGCAGCCTTTGGGAGACCTTTTTTTTTTTTTTTCTTCTTCTTTCCCCCTCATGTGTAATGAGGTGATTCTGAATCTCTGCCTTGAGAAGTCAAGCTCGAGGAAGTATAAACCTCAAAAAAGCCTTTTAACTTTTTTGTTTTGTTTTGGTACACTTCCCCTTTAAGTTCAGAAGACGTATAGCTTTTTGCATTAGAAACCAATGATAAATAAACCCCACAAGCCCATTACTAAGACAAACTTACTTTCTGTACAATTAAAACAAAACAAAAAACAAAACAAAAAAAAAAAACAAAAAAACAAATAAACAAACAAAAAAACCTGATCCCTCGAAAGAAATTTAAAATCCTGGACAGCAACTTAATTGTAATTAAAAGATTACAATACCAAGTAACACCACAAAAATTTTAAAATTTTAGATGATGTTACCAGAAGAGGTTAATAACAATTCCTCACTTTTTATGCAGTAGCATTGACTTTGCAGTAAGAATATGTAGTATTTAGGATTAGCCTACTAATGAGCTACTGATGATTTAACATTCAAGAATTGCAAAATGAAAAGAAATGGAGCAGGAATTTTTCCCTGAGAAGTGCTCTTTTCTTTTTTCCCCTACCATATATCAGAGGTCATTGGCAAAATAGAAATAACTTCTATAAAATTCCAAACTCCACTGCAGAGTGATACACTTTGAAAGCCATGCCAGCTGGATAGGGGCTGTGCTAAGAGCCAAGCTCTAGAGTTCAAGGGCCTTCCAGACTTCTGTAAACTTCACTGAGTCAAGGTTTGGTACATTTACACAAGAGGTTCTTGCTTTCCACACACTGAAGATCATTTCAACAGATCTGAGCAAATAAACGAAACCCCAAGTGAGGAAAATCGGATCTCAATCTCTCTCTCTCTCTCATGCACACACACACATACACACACACGAAAAATCCACGCACAAGCCCTGCAGGAGATGCCAACAATGTGGTTTTGATAATCTAACAAAAACACAAAACCTTTTACTGCACTTACCAGCAAAGCATTTGGAACAGAGATTCATAGTCTTGCTGGACCTGGGGCAAAAATAAAAAAAAATAGAGCTAAAAAATTCATTTTAACTAATCAATGCAGGGGAGTTTTTTTTTTTTTTTTCGGGAACGAAGCAAAGGGACAGAGAAGGTAACAACTTAAACTTCTAGGAATCGAAGTGACTAGAAGTGGCTGAGCTAGGAACAGAGGCAAGGGGAAGAGACTTCTTTTGGCAATCTCCAGTTTCACATATTTATCTCACATTGAGAATAAAGCTAACATTAGCAATTAATGTATATATTACACACCCGTCAATCAGATCTTTCTACCACAAAATGATCATGACAATAGACTTAGATATCAGAGCTCCTCCTGGCAACAGCTTTGCCGCCCTGACAGACCCTGCTCACAGTACAACGTTAGAGATTAAAGCTTTGCTCTGCAGGGCCCCAGACAGACGTGCTCTGGGAGATGCAGCCAGGAGGGTTTGGGAAGTCGTTCAAGCTGCTCACTGCCACCCTCGGCTGCAGGCAGCGATAATATAAAATAAACGGGCTGACTTTGCACTGACATGGCCTAGGATCGCTCATATGATCCACTAGTGTGAGGCCCGTAACCTTCAGCTGCAAGAGGAACAGCTGGACATGACAGCAGCAGCTTAAGCCTCCCAAGTGTCTCCGCGGCGTTTGTGTCTGCCTGCAGCCTCAAAGTCAGCAGGCCACCAGAAAAACAAAATCTCTCTAGCACTGCCATAAAACTACCCCAAATAATGTACCACAGCAGTCCCTTGCACAGGTTTCTCTTGACTTATGGGAAGTTTACCTCCATAATTTTTTTTTTTGAAAGTGCAAAATCAGCTGGAGTATATTCTCAAAAGTTCTCTAAATGTTGAAGTATTTTTAGGAAGACCAACCCCTTTTCTGTGCACACAGCCCAATATTTGATTTCAACGCCCAGCGTTCCTCAGCAAGCTCCGCCACGATGTCCATAAGCATCAACACCGAGCGGGTCTGCCCTCACCAAGATGACTTTGTGTCCTCCTCAGGGCAGCATTTGGCTGGAACACCTCATTTAGACAAATTATCTGCTAGCTGATCTTTAGAAATAGCATACACAAGAACAATTGAGATTACCAAAAATATTTAGGTTTTCTAGTTCCAGCCAAACATTGATGGACTTTTGAGAAGAGATGTATGTACATCTTATAATATACAAACTATATAAAACCCTGCATATTATCTCAAAACCAAAAAATTAAGTTTGAAAATTTTAAAGCACAAATTTTAAAACACTCTCAGATTTCTACACTTTGTTTAAAAAGTTTGCAAATGGATATTTTCAATGACTTTCCAGTAACAAAGTAAATCCAGACTCGGTCAATCATATCTTTTAGTATTAGTCACATCAAAACATTACAGATGCTTTTCAGTTCATGCACATTTGAAAGCTAGTTTACATCAGCCTCGAGATTTCCAGAGGAGCACAGTTCACTGCAGACATGAGACAAAGCACTTGCCAGCTACAGCAGGAGCCACAGACACATGAAAGCCAGTTTTAAATGCAAACAGTATGTGCACAGAAGAAATGTTAATTCCCAGGAAAAGAAAAGCAAAACAGCATTTGTAGCCACACAAATACATCATTATATTGGTATATACCCAAAGACTCGCTATCTATGCTGACAGTCTGTATAGATTATCTACCTTCAGAAGAACTGCAATTAAAAACAGCATGGTGAGTCAACACCTCCAGCATTAGTGTGCTGCAGTTCAGTACTCACTGCTTATGGGTTAGACCTTCTGGAGCAGCTCAATATGCCAGGCAGGAGCTTCTCTGCAAAGCCATTAAACCCCCAGGGCAGCAAAGAAAAAGAAAGGCAGAGTTCAGATGGTTCATATCGATGACATTGGAACGGGCAATGACAAATGTTTTCAGAGGCACAATCAACCATCTCAGCTGTTAAATATCAATCCAAAGACTCGTATGATATTTACTTATTAATACACCAATAGGGGGAAAACACACACATACACACAACACACACCGCTATGTGGAAAACAAACAAACAAACAAAAAAAAACAAAAAGGGCTGCTATTTAGTTGTAATACAAAAACTGGATTTTGTGAAAGGACAGTGTAATTGGGCAGGTAACCCTAAGACAAATAACTGAACTTCACTGTTACAGTTTCAAGGCTCACTTTATCTCTGGTCTTTTTATATCCCTTGTGGCTACTGGGTAGGGTGAGAATCTGATTTCTGACTTTTTTTTAAAAAAAAAAAGAAAAAAAGCAGGACACTTTGGTCCACTGCAAATTCATCAACGTTAAATGGGATCCACAACAATGGCAGTTTCCTTCAGGTTGATCTGCCTCACCCTTTTCTGAAAGGGCAGTATTTAATTACAGCAACAGCTTTACAAAGCAAACATATCAAGCAGTTTATACGTGTCAAGCTTGCCAGGTGTTATCCAACAGGCATGTAAATGCCTTGTCGAGGAAGGCACGCACATTTGTCAGCTCTTGGTTACAGTGCAAATCGCTTTCTTTACCCCGTCCCAGGCTGTCCCAGCAGAGACAGCGGTTTCCTCCGTGAGGTAAAGCTCCGTTTCCTCCATGAGGTAAAGCTCGTCACTCCCACTGCCCATTCGCGTTAACTGCTTCCCAGCAACTGCACTGCTCACCGAAACTCATGCTACCACCCAGGAACGCAAAAGCGTGGGATGCCCCTGCTTCCGACTGTCGTTTCAAACACAGCCGATGTCCGCAGTATCGCCTATCTCTCAAGGTAACGTCATTGGAAACGCTCAAAGTTCAAATGCACCCGCCAGGGCTGCCCTCATGCCCCTTCGCCGCCAAGAGAGGGTCGCAATGGCCAACTCTGCTCCAAGCAAGAGATTTCTAGGAAAAGCAGCACCGTTCAGATTTCTATGGAAGTTTGATAAAAACCGCCAGTACAAAGGTAAGGCCCAATGAAGCTAAAAATTCGAAGTCAATCCTGAACCGAGGAGTCCGGTATGTTTTGTATTTCCCCTGCTGCAAGTCTGTGGGGGCTGAGAGCCATTTCTGCCCCCTCCTGGCATGGTGAGGTCAGGGATATTTGACACGCAAATCACTTACAGAATCACCACAGGTTTTAACCTGATGTATTAAGATAAAACCCTGATCTCCCTCATAAAAAGTCAGTGTCGTGCTTAACACTGCCTAATCGGGAATTACTCCAGCACACGTTTTATATGTGCATATATCTCTGGAAATCCAGTTTTATATTGGCAATTTACAATCTCCACTTGTACATAATTTAAGCTGGCATTCAGAAAGACATTCATATTTATGGATAAATCAAGTCAAATAGAATGGTATTATCTTAGAAACAGAATATAAAGTTAAACCCAATTTGAAGGTACTTCGATCTGTCAAAAAAAAATCATTTAACTGAAGGGCAATACAAAATTATTATGTAGATTTGGAAAATACAAGGTGAAACAAGCTAGTAAGGTCAAGTGGCAGAGAAAATGAGAAGCAGAGGTTACTTTGAGACAGTTGGAAAATCCCAGAGGCTCCAGAACAACCGCAAGTCTCCATCAAGCTTAGGTATTAAAAGTGCTTCCACTAGCAGAGAAAACACATAGTAATTCCCCTAAAACACAGCAATGAAAGGAGTAGCCATGACATAAGGACATTCAAAGAGGAAGAAGTTTACAGACCCTCTCAAGAGTGCCACAAAGAAATTTACAGAAAATCTCAAGAGCTTATCTATCTTTTAAGCAACTAACAAAAACACAGTTGAGAATAAAATTTAGAAGCCCATTTGAAGATATTCCAACTGTCATCCCTTACTTATACTTTTGTGCCTACAAGCTTTCATTGCACATGAAGCGACTCAAGCCTTCAGATGTAGGTACAGAGCGCATTAAGGTCTTGACTTCAGCGAGATCAATGTTTGCATCTCTGGTTGAAGATGTATAATACAGAACACGAGAGAATGACGGGCACCGAATAGCAAAAATCAACTGATATACATTGATACATACTGTAACTAAGTAACAGAAAGATTCTCCTTCAGCCACTTGAATTGTTACCCTGATTCCATTTTCATACTTTCATACATTCCTATTAAAGCGTGACCTTGCCTACTCGATTAAAGGCATTGAAAATTATTTACTCGATTTTATACGCTGTTCTATTAATTATTCCTTTTATTTCCTGCGCTTTGGCATACACCATTGCAAGGAACAAGCCATCTCAATGCTATGATTCTGTCTTAACACAAAGTTTGCTTTTCCTTCCTCCTCTTACTGTAAATCACCTCATCAGGGCAAAACCACATGCTGAGTGTGAAACCAAAATTCTGACTATCAATCTGAAGTAGAGACTTCTAGACACACAGTGTTTCAACAGAAGAGTCAGAATCTAAACCTCTGTCTGGAGACATAAGATTAAATTACAAAGGAAATTCTGAGCATTAAAGTGTACAGCATACATTTGAGCATTAAAGCATACAGAAGCATATAAAAATCTGCTTGGAACCTGTATCCTCAGCCTCCCTAATGAAATCAATTTTCCACAAAGTAGCTTACATAGGTATAACTAATACATACTGAAGGTATTATCCTCAAATCCTACATGTTGCAGCACATTGTCAGTCATTTCCAAGTCTACCCCTTTTCCACGTTAAAAAGGCAAGAAAAAAGCAAACCAGAAACACTTTAGTACTAGCTCACACCATACAAGCGCTAGACAGCAACGCCGAAAAGCTCTGCTTGGTCTTTATTATGGACTCTCCTACACATTTCAAGGTAATAGTGAACTAATGTTACTACTGTAAATCTATGCCAATGGTAAGACGGATGCAGCTGTACCACAGTAAGATCATGATTCTAGCACAGCTGTATATTCCCCACACTCAAAAAGACTGCACAAAAATAATTTCTGAGGACAATTCTTGTTCAGTTGTTTTGGGGCAGATAGAAGGACAGGAATGCAGACAAGGAAACAAATGCTGCCATGTAAGATGCATCCGTTAGATATTTAACTTGAAGATATTTAAGCTACAGATGGTATTTAAATGTGATTGCAAAATCCCAGATTGTTATTGAAAACAGAATTTGACAACATACCTAGTAATGTTACTTTATGATTTAGAAGCTCCACTGACTTCATAGTAGAAAAGCATTGATCTGCTTGCTTGGCTCTGCAATTGCATTGATTAAGTGCATCACGGTAAGCGTTTCTTGGGCCTCTTCCAGCAGGGCAATTACAGAGTGGCATCTCAGTGTCACTACAGGCCAAATATATCCCAGCCCTTTACTGATACCTATGCAATATGTCAGGGGTCATATGTTTGAGAAGAATTATATAGAAAGAGCTATACCATTAATTAGCTAAAACTACACCAAAGCCTCCTTACTAGAGGCACAGTTTAATGTAGTTCAGACCTTAGGACAACTACACATATGTTAAAGCAAAGCATTTATACCTCTGTAGTTGATGGCCTGTCACCATTTCCATTATAAAGCAATTTTCAGAGGTTTATAATGCAGCTGAAGAACTCATTCTGAGCTGAATCCTGGCACAAGGTAAAAAGCAAAGCCATAGCCCACACATGCTTACTTTCATCCAGTCCGACTAAAAGGATTACTTAGCATTAAAAGAAAATTGATCTAGTTCTCTACTTCCCTTGCACTTTTCATCAGAGCATGCAACATTTTGCCTTGTACAGAAAGGAGGTTAATTAGCCCATGTTAATAAGGCCCTCAATCATCCTTTTCTAAGTTCTGCATAGCCCATATGATGCCTTCTCAACACACTCACTTAGACTTTCTAAATCAGAAGTCACCTCATGCTTTTGTTCACGTTGCCTATTTGATATTTAGGGTTCCTCCTTAATTTGTAATCTTGACAACACGATACAGGCAAGGGTTTTTGGACAGCTTAAATAGTTATTCATATTCTCAGCCCGAGTTACTAAGTGACTTTGTGAAGGAGGTATGCCAAATTCACTTCAAGTAAAAGTCTAGGAAGGGGGAAACACGTACACCAACATGCACATACCCTCAAATGAAGTGAACTAGAATTTGAAATTAGGTATAAACAGAGTCATTCTCTTCTGCTTCACCAGCTGTTCTACACCTGTATGCACTATTTTAAGAATTCTACTTCACTTAGGGTTTTATTGGAGATGTACACATACACAGAAACAGGTTTTTTTGTATGGAAAACATGGTTTCAGTTTTTGGACTCTGCATTTTCAATGTCAATCATTTAGTATTAGCTACCAGTGCAACATTTTTTGGTAAACTATAGAGTGATGCTTCAGTTGGAGAGCCAGACATTTGTAAGGCCTTCATCATCCTGACCTTGATTTGAAATGAAATGAAGAGTAAGGCATGTGCACAGCACAGGGCACTCATACGGTGCCCTTTGGGCAAGTTCCCAACCTCACAAGCCACTCTGCTGCATCCCAATGAAGGGGCTGCATCCTGATGTGGTGCATTTCAATGGTTATACTAGAGCTACTTTTACAACGGTATGGCTAAAGCAATTTTTGTGTTTTAAATGTTGAGAAGTACTGAAGCAGTCTATAGAGAATAGAGCCACAGCATAGATACGCACAAGCAAGGCAGGAAAACAAAGGAATGATAAAGTAGCTCCTCCTTAGCATGGAATCAGACCCCAAAACACTGAGAGATTTGCGACTGAAAGCCTCATGCAAATGATTCATATAACAAACCACAGAACCCAATGCATCTAAGCTAGGCAAGAAAGATAAGAACTTTGACCAGATTCAGCGGGATTTGCAGCTCAGTGTGCAAAGTCATGCTCTGCAGTCAAAGCCAAATATTTCATATTCCTACATCTACATATTTCTACACTCCCTCCCA